CAATCCCAATTCCAACCCCCGCGATCATCTACAAGGTCTGCCACTTTCGCATTAACATTCGCCACTCGTTGGGAGTCCGAGACTTGCGTGATCAAAGCGTCTTCCGTCCCAAGCCATGGGTCGAGCCAAAACCGAGCCATTTCTCCGTTACCCACCTGCCACCGACCAAGACTTTAGGCCACACCGTGCGGATGGCACGCAGTAAAGAGGATCCATCGCGCCTCGTAATGTCAAGCAGCCCTCAGGAAAAGTCCAAGCCATATTTGGCCTTAAAGACCCGTACCCATAAGGCTGCTGGCCTTGTCAGGAGGCTCCATCCAAGTTTCATTAATAACGCCTCGTTCATTCAGCGAAGATTGCGTAATCCCAGGCCACCCTCTTCGCGTGGTTTGCATACATCTTTCCACGCGACCAGATGCACCCTCTTGCGGTCGCATGTGCCCCCCCACACGAAAGCGTGGGAGCGTCGGGCCACACCCTCAGAAGTCGTGCTCGGAAGAAGACTCGTTTGTATAGTGTAGTACAGTAAGGTATTTAGAACGGATTGAGTAAGGGTCACTCGGCCTGCTAGAGATAGTGTTTTGATGCGCCAGCCGGCCAACCGCATTTCCATTCTCTCCACAATATGGGAATATGTGGATCGAGTGACTCGCCCGTGAATAATTGGGAAACCCAAGTATTTCCCGAGGTTATCCGTCAAAGAGAATTTTAAGGCCGAGGCTAGTCGCTGTTGCTCGTGAATCTGGACATTGTTGGAGAAAAATACATGTGTCTTCGCGGAGCTCACCTTGAGACCAGAGGCGGTACAAAAAAGATGGAGTATTCGTGGTAGCACAAAGACCTGGTCGTCAGAAGCCTCCATGAACAGTAACAAATCGTCTTCGAACATAAAAAAGGGACCTGGACCGCTCCCCTCCCGACTGAAATCGGTCGCCATTCACGGGCCTCAACAGACGCGCAAATCAGCTGCGCCAGTCGATCCATGCATAACACGAAGAGGTAAGGAGAGATGGGATCCCCCTGGCGCACTCCCCGAGTCGGCGTAAATTCGTCCCTCATAGTCCCGTTCCACAGCAAGTTCATGGAAGCTGACCGAACACAAGCCATGACGGCTGAAACGAAATTCGCTGGGTAATCGGCGAATTGAAGCGTTTCCTCCACAAAACACCACCGAAGAAAGTCGTATGCTTTTTCAAGATCCACCTTGACTACCATGAAACATGTCGCCCCTCGCTTCCCTCTCATCGAGTGGACAAGCTCTTGCGCCACAATAATATTATCTGTAATGTGGAGACCGGGAACAAAGCTTGCCTGGGCTGGATGGATGAGACCCGGAAGAGTGCTTTTCATGCGGTTCACCAAAACCTTAGTGAAAATTTTATAAACCACATTAAGAATACTAATGGGACGGAATTGTTTAATCGACATGGCGTTGTCCACCTTGGGGATAAGCACTAGAAGCGTGCGGTTCACCCATTCTGGCACCACTCCCGATCTCCACATCCGTTGGATAAAAGCGCACACGGCAGACCCCGCTGTGTCCCAATTCTTCTGATAAAACAGCGCATTCAGCCCATCTATGCCCGGAGCTTTCAGTGGGCCCATATTCTGCAGAGCGTGAAAGATTTCCGCATCCAATATGTCGTGGGTCATGGCCCTAGCCCTAGTAGCGTCACTCGGAGGGAATGCGGTCTCCAAGAGGCACCCTACGACTGCTGGCGACTCATCCGTGTAGATTTTCTCGAAGTACCCTGTGGCAAACCGACGCAGAGCCTCCGGCTCAGTCACCCGGGAGCCATCCTCAGTGACCAACTCAGTAATTTTGTTATGCCGACGACGATGCTTTACCTGTCGGTGGTAATAGGAAGTGTTCCGATCGCCTAAGAAGTTCCAATCTCTCGTAGCCTTCTGAATCATAAGCGGTTCTTCCTGTCGAATAACTCCCGCTAATTCATTTCGGAGTTGCGATTCAGGACCCCGAAGGTGGGTGGATTGGTAGTACCGAGTGCAGTGCTGAATACCTCTGATGCGAGCCAGCAGACATTTCTTCTGGCGAAAGATATTGCCGAATACAGTGGTGTTCTACTCCCGGACCTGTTCTGTGCAAGCCGAGGCTGCATCTTTAAAATCAGTCGAAGTCCCCCACACCCTTTTTACTAGATCCTTGAATCCAGGGTGGAGCATCCATGCAGCCAGGAAGCGAAATGGCTTCACCCCACTCGACGGAATCCATTGCCGGCCAAATTCAAGAAGGAGAGGAATGGTCAGAAAGTAGCCTTGGGAGGAGACGAACTCGGCTTCCATCAAACTCCTCCATTCATGGGATATTGGCCACAAATCTATCCAACTTCTCAGCCACCAGGCGCTGGTGAGTCTCACGCACCCACGTGAAAGCATGCCCGTCAATAGCAACCTCTTGAAGGCTGTAGTTTAACATCCAGTCAGCAAAATCCCGACTAATGTTACAAAATCTCGCCGAGCCTCCTATTTTCTCTGATAGACGAAGAATGCACCTAAAATCCCCCCAATTACTCAGGGATCAGATATACAGTCCGCAATGCGGGATAACACATTCCATAAGGTCCGTCG